GAATAAGAAAGCATTGCGAGTAATCATAAACATGATCAAATATTGTTAATTCGACTAGTACTAGTACGACTGATAATACTACTGTGAAAAGTAATGTTACTAATACTGCAACTAGTAAGAGCAATCGCACATACTTGTAGAATAAATATGGTATGGCTAATAATAATATCGATACTCCTAATTCGAATGCTATCAGGAAACGTAGCAACATTACTACATTCAGTTTTAACAAGAAACGAATAATGTTAATGATAAGGATAATGCTCTAGTCATAAGAGGAGCACGAAACATACTACGACGAATCATAAGAGTACTTAAGCTCATGTTACGCGTGTCAGATGTCATCTGAGTACTACTACTAATAGCATTAATGATACTACTACTACTACTACTACTACTACTACTACTACTACTAGTACCTCTACTCTCACTACTAGCACTACTACTATACATAATAATAACAATAATCTACTGCTAGTACGAGTTGGAAGCACCCATTCATTATTATTGATGTTATTCTTATTGCTATTTTGACCAATAGTAATATTAATAATGCTACCACTACTGCTAATTCTATTGACACAACTAAGACTACCAATGATAATATTACAATGAGAAGAAGAGGAGGAGCAGGAAGAGGATGAGGAGGAGCAGGAGGTGGAGGAGGTGGAGGCGGGAGGAGACGCACGAGGAGCAGGAGGAGGAGGATGAGGAGGAGCAGGAGGAGGAGGAGGAGGAGGAGGAGGAGGAGGAGGAGGAGGAGGAGCAGGAGCAGGAGCAGGAGCGGGAAGAGCAGGAGGAGTAGGAGGGGCAGGAGTAGCAAGAGGAGCAGGAGGAGCAGGAGGAGCACGAGCAGGAAGAGGAGGAGCAGGGAGGAGGATATGGAGGAGGGCCCCCGTTCGAATGGGAGCCCCCTCATTTGGCAACGACACCTCGCACCCATTTCTGTAGCGCCTTCATCGCCTTGCTTTTCCCCACCCCCTACAGGTCCGAGCGTGCCCAGACTCCCGACGTCGTGATTGTTTCACGACGTCGACCCCAGAGGTCTGGACCCTCTCCCCAGCACCCGTTTTTCAGCCCGAGTTGTTTTTTGACGGTCCCGAGGCCCAGCGAGGGCCTCCGGGGGCCGAAATTAGCGAAAAGCCCTCCCGTCGTGATCTTTTCGCAGCGCGGAGGGCTCTGGGCCAGCCGCCGCCCCTCAGACCCCCTGCCAGGGCGGAGCTGCCACTGGAGGGCCCCATCCTCGCGGACTTCCTCGCGGCCGGCGGCGAAGCCAGCGCCTCGGCGCCCGGAGGCGCCTCGCTGCCGCCGCGCGCCCGGCCGCCTGGGGCAGCACGCGCGCGCCGCCCTGCGCCTTGCGCCTGCCGCATTGCCCCGCTCACCGGCTGTCCCCTCTCCCCCTCCGCCTCCCCCCCCTCTGCCTCTGCCCCTCCCCCTCTCCCTCTCTCCCTCCCCCTCTCTGCCTGTCCCTCCTGCCCTCCCTCCCTCCCCCTCTCCCTCTCCTCGCCCTCTCCCTCTCTCCCTCGCTCCCTCTTTCCCTCCCTTTCTCCGTATCCTACCCCTCTTTCCCTCTCTCCCTCCTCCACTCTCTCTCCCCCTCCCTTCCCTGGAGAGGACAGGGGCGGGCCGGCAGGCAGCAGCAGTGGGCGAGACGGTCGGATTCTCTCTCTCTCTCTCTCTCTCTCATTGGGCCTCCCTCCCCATGCGCTCCCCTGCCCTGCCCTCCCGTCTTTTTCTCTCTCTCTCTCTCTCTCGCTCTTTCCTCCTTCCCCCTCTCTCCGCGACGGGTGTAGGGGAACGCGTGCATGGTAGCGGATCTCGCTTGAGGTTCGCGGGCCAGCTCCGCACCCAGCGCGCTCCAGGAGCCCCTCGAGGGGGCCCAGGGGCGCCGCGCCGCGGGTCCAGCGACGGAAGGGCCGCGGAATCAGCTGCGAGACGATCCGTGCTGCTAGCAAGCAGAATGCCCCGTGCTGGCCAGAGCTGCGGGAGGACCCTCGCCCTGGCAAGGAGGTCGGACCCAGGGTTCGACTTCAGCATTCGAGCAAGTTCAAGGCCAAGGCTGCGAGCAAGCTCGAGGCCAAGAAGGCGAACGAGCGCGGTGGCAGACCCCCAGAGGCTAGAGCCCACCGCCAGAACCGAGGGAGCGCTTGGAGGAAGCTGGCCGAGTGCGGCGACGCGGCTCAGCTTGCGGAAGAGGAGCGAGCAGCGGTGAAGCGGCAGTTCGCGCTCGATCTCCAGCGTCAGGCGAAGGCCGACAAGGGCGCTGGAGGGTCGAATGCGGGAGGTGGTCGAGCAAGTGCACAGGCTGACGACGGAGAGTCAGCATACGCGGACGGAGCTTCAGCAGCGAGATCTAGCGATAACCGAGATGCGAGGCAAGCTTCAGGGGCAAGCCGGCAGAACGTGGACTTCGTGGCGAGATGATGGACCCGAAAATTATTCACAAAGTGAAGCCGTTCGACGGTCAGAGAGCGAGCTGGAAGACGTTCAGTATCCAGTGCAAAGCCTACCTGATCGCGCAAGACCGAAGGTATCGACCTCTTCTCGAGAAGCGCGAAGACGGAGCGCAGGGCGTAGACAACGTGAGCCTGTCAGCCCAAGAGGAGGGGCCCAGCGCGCAGCCGTGCCTCGCCCTGTTTCCGGTCATGCCCGAGGACTCGGTGGGCGAGATGATTGTGAGGAACAGCAGCGCGGGCGAAGGAGCGGCGTGCTGGAGGCAGCTGCAGAAGGAGTGCAAACCGAGCGAAGCAGGCAACGTGCCAGTGATGTGGACCAAGCTCACGGACACGAAGTTCGAGGCAACGGACGACGTGATGGTGGTTATCAGCAAGCTCGACGAGGACATGACAAGGTGCCAGAATACGTCGGGCGAGCCCGTGTCGGACCTCATCGAGCGAGGCATTCTCGCCGAGGCGCTCATGGATCACGGCGAGTTGCAGAAGCACGTGTTTCGGAACAGCAGTCGGCTGAACGCGTGCGAGCTCCTGCGAGCCGAAGTCGTGTCGGCGCTGGCGGTGGAGCGAGCGGCCCACGACGATCCGATGGACATCGGCGGGTTGAAGGGGGCAAGAAGGCGTGGAAACGCCGTGGCAAAGGCAACGGGGGCAAGGGCTGGGAGAGGCCGCCGAACCCAGGCGCCGACCTGGAGTGCAATTACTGTCACAAGAAAGGCCACCGCAGCGCCAACTGCCGCGATCGGATAGCCGACGATAAGAATGCGGCCGCCAACCACGACAACAAGGACAAGGAGCAGCACAGAAAAGAAAAGGTCAAAGGGAAGAAGAGGGTCGCAGCAGCGGCAGTAAGAGAGCTCGAGAGGTTGCGACACGCAGCAGTAGCCCCAGCGACAGGGCCGACTGTGCCCATGCAGCCTCTGCCAGGGACACAGCAGCGCCTAGGGCGCCGTGACCTTGCCAGTCGCCGTGCCTGTCTGCAGAGGGCTGCGAGCAAAGGTGATTCTGGCCCTGGGGGCCGAAGTCACAGAGCCCGAAACCACGGGGCCGACTGGAAGTACACCTTGCCTTCCTACAGTGAGTTCACCTGCAGCTCTTGCAAGAAGATGTTCAGGGGCAGAAGGTGGCACTGCCATGAGTGCAAGCCAGACTTCTGCGGGGCGTGCGCAGAATACTGCTTGGACAAGGCATGCACTCGAAGTTCAACTTCTTGTTGCTGCTGTGAGTCAGCTGCGGTCGGGCCCGCGCTGCACGAGGTCGGGGGCCTGCGTGGGCAGGTGGCGGAAGACGACCGGCTGCGGTTAGCCCCGCGTCGGAATGCCATCATGCTCGACTCAAGCGCGCAGATCAGCACAGTGCCGAGGAAGCAGGTGACCAAGCACAATTACACGCCGACGGACAGCAACGTCGTTGAGTTGAAGGGTATCGGAGGCGAGGAGATCGAGAGGTCCGGCCATTGGGAGCTTAACCTGTCCCGAGGAGGAGAGGTTATCCACGTTGGTGCGAAAATTGCCGACGTGGAGTGCACCGTTGCGGCCGTGTGCGCGGTAGTGCAACGAGGCCATGGCGTTCTCCATGGCCCTGCAGGTCACTGGACCATCGACGGCACCATTGAGCCGCCTGGTGGAGCTGAGTTCGTACCTCTACGACGTCATCAGTCCAACTACTACTTGGAGTACGATTGCATCATAGACGGCAAGACCCAACCAGGCGCCTCGCAGGTAGGGGGGATGAGGAAGACGCTGCCGCGGCAGGCCCCGGCTGAGCAAGCAGCTGAATCGTTGCCGAGGGTTCTCGGCCCAGAGGCGGACGAGACTACGACTGTGCCGACGAGGGTGCTGGAGGCACCCTGCCGGCCTAGTGCTGCGGACAGGGCCGCGCGCGAAGGGCATCGCCTATCTTGTCGCCCCTGGTGCCCACTGTGCGTGGGAGCTCGAGCGGGCGGCGATCCACGCTGCGTACAGGGGCCAGCGGGCGAGACATGTGCCGAAGGTGTTGTTCGACATCTTCTACGTTGGGACTGGCCAGCTGGCGGCTAAGCACAAGCTTTAAGGGGGCTGCTTCAGCTTCCGTGAGTAGCCGCTGGTGACGAGAGCAGATCTAGAACAGGCGATCGCAGTTCAGAACGTGATCGTTTGCAAGATCCTGGCACGGGCGACGCAGTGTGCTAACAAAGAGTTGGGCGACGATAAGGTGTCCTTCCTCATGGCTGTTCTAGAGGTCTGGGGTCACGGGGCAGTTGCGCTTCAGACAGGCCAGGGGCCCGCCGCGACGGCCCTGGCAAATGCATTTCGAGATCGCAGGTCTCGCTCTACATTGGTGCAGGGATCACCGCATTTGACCAGGCAGAGTGCTGGCTACGCCGAGGGTGCCAACGAGCCTGCAGCAGGCTTGCTGCGGGCCTACAAGCTTGAGCTAGAGCGCAAGCTGGGGCGCGAGATCAAGATGACGGATCCGATCGCGCCTTGGCTCGTCAACTTGGTGGGCCAGATGATCGCCAGGTTTCAGCCGCGAAGCCATGGGGGCCCTTCCCACGAGATGCTGTAGGGCAAGGGGTGCAGTGGGGAGATCGCGGAGATGGGCGAGCAGGTCTGGTATCGGATCCCAGCCCGAGTTGCTGCTGGACGCGGCAAGTAGGAGGCCTACTTTGCCAAATGGATCTGGGTTGGAAGGAGCGAGTTGGACGACGCCCACCTCGTGATCGACCCGGAGCGTGGCGTGCAGAGGGCCAGGGCCGTGCGGGGGATGCCAGAGGAGTTTAGGTGGCAGCCCGAGTTCCCCCAGAACATCAGGGCGACGCCGTGGAAGCACATCCCTGACGAGAATGCAGGGCCCATCGGACGCAGTACGTACATCACGGAGCGCATGATCGACGCTCGCGGCCCGACCGACGACTGCAGGACATGCAGCGCTGGATATGGGTCGCATGTGGCATCCTGCCGTCAGCGGTTCGAGACAACCCAGGCCGACCTCCTGCGCGAGAAGTTGGACAAGGACCCTGTGGCCCCAGAGGCTACGGTGGCGGTGCCAGCCCTGGCTGCGGCCCCCCCCGCGCCTGGGGCAGCGGCTGGGCCAGCGGCGGCGTCGAGCAGCAGTGAGGTAGCGGTTCACGACTCCCGCGAAAACTGCCATCGCGCCAAAGCCCTTGAACTGTTTCCCGAACATGAGGTTCAGAGTGGTGCAGTGCTTCTCCATCGTCGACCACTCGATGTACTTGGTGAGCATGTCGGCCGCCATCTTGCTGGCATCCCCCTCTGGGAGCTCAGGCGCCTTGAGCCGCAGCCGCTTTTGAATCCACAAGTACCTCGGTTCCAGATGCCTGGCCTTGCCCACGCCCGCTCTGCTGCACATGCCCCGCCCCGCGGTGCTGTCGCTGTAGATCTTCAGGTTGCAGGGCCTCTGGGTCTCGATCAGGTAGGTTTTGCACTGGGGCCCCCCGGCAGTCGAACTGCCTGCAGCATGCATCTCGGACCCCCCTGCGCTTAGAGCTATGGTGCCCTGCGTCAATGCGTAGCAACCCCATGTGTGACTACCATACCGCACTGCTCCTCCTCTCGTGGATAGCCTCTGCAAGTCGCTTGCGGGGACCCAGCCTGCATCTCCGTCCACGCGAATGCCTCCAGGAGTACCCTGCAAAAGCAGCACCAGACCAACGCAGTCTGTCCTTCACAGTACCGCCCAAGCCGCTGAACTCGCGCATGCATCAGAACACTGGGGTTTCGGGCTGATCGCTGTCTTGCTGGCGTACATCGTGTCGGGCCTGTCCGAAGAGAGGTGGGGCGCCGCGCCTGCTGCACCTGCAACTTCCCGAGCTCGATCCTTGGACAGAAGATCGAAGCTGTCTCGTCGACCTGGTCCTGTCGCTTTCGCCCCTGGAGTATGAGCTGCCTTGCACCCTCACTTTTGTGTCCACTGAATCATGAAATCCACGTGCTTTGGATCCGCTGCCCAGAAGAAACCTGGATCCTCTGAGCCTGGCAGCTTACCGGTGTACCCGATGATCCTCTTGAGGTAGGTCGTCTGCCCAGGTCTTCCTGGGCCCAGTCTGGCGCTGGCTGTGACCTCGAACTGCTGTTTCAGCAACTCGTCCAACTCGTGCAGCTGCTCGTCGTAGCCTTCGACCAGAAAGTCATCACCATGGCAGATCGCTGCGCTGTCCTCGTCGACGGCAGGGGCGTTGGGGCTCGCTGGCAAGTAGAACACGTTAGGTGCCGCCGCCAAGCAATCCCAGTGGCCGTCATCCATGGTGGTCCGCACCAGCTCCCCCCACATCTGCGATGCCTTCCTGGCGCCGTTCATGACCGCCCGCAGCCGCCAGCACCGTCCAGGGGGGCACAGCTCGCGTCCAGTATGAACGTAGATCGTCTCACCGAGGTCGGCTTTTGAAGAAAGCCGTCCTGACGTCCCAGACCAGGATCATCTGCTTGTGCTCTCCCGTCGAAGTAGGGCTCGATGCGGCGCGGCTTAGCGTCGCCCTCACAATCATGAGCGGCGGTGTGCCTTGGTGGTTGTCCTCGCGCACCTCGTGCTCGCTGATCTCTGTCGCCGCGAACCTCCACCTGACTCTGCCTTCCTTCTGACGGGCTATGGGGAAGCCTCCGACGTGCTTGCCGTCGGTCGCCGTCGACGTCGCCACCTCCACATAGACCCGGTAACCCTTCATGGCCTGGAGCTCGTCGTCGACCCCTGGTACAGATCCTCGCCCAGAGGCTCTCCAGCGCAGTAATCGCACTGCATCGTCTTTGGGCTCCACTGGTCGCGCTCGTGCAACTCGGCACTGGCCTCAACCGTCTGCTCGATCTGCTCCTCGTCGCGTGCTCCTGAGTGACTCCTGATCGCCCGCGCCTGCTGCGGTAGACGTAGCCGTGCCTCCTGTCCCAGGAGAGGCAGAAGCGCAGACAGCCATGCAGACGGAACCTGACCAGATCTGGAGCGGCTTCCAGAGAGGCGCCCCAGGAGAGCCGAGGGCCGAAGTGGAGATCAAGAAGCCGAGAGTAGCAACCATCGGTATGCCCTCTGTCTGCGAACTGGCAATCTGCAAGGAAGGCTACGGCGGGACTTTTGACCCGATACGGGATCCACACCCGAAGCGAAGTTCAAGATGCTCGGGTCGGTGTGAGAAGCATTCGTCGAGAGGCCAGCTGAGGGAGTGTCGCCGAGGCGAGTGTAGGCCAGGCAGCGGTTTGCCCCGCACCTGCGCCCCGCTACGTGGACAGCGGGGAGTTCTGGTTCATCCTGAAGACGGGTGGCTTCGTGGTGGTCGCCGCGGTGTTCTTCTTGGGCTGCGCGTGCGGCTGCTACGCGAGGAACTACCTCAAGAAGGACTTCATCCAGGAGGCGGTTGCCCCCGCTCCGGGAGACGCCGACGTCTACCTGGCTGCGTGGACTGACGCGGAGGTCGAGACCATAACTGTACAAGGACTTGGCACATCGCCTCGTCCAGCGCGATGCGACGGACGAGCGAGGCGCAAGCTTTCAACGCGTTTCTCGTGGTCGGCTTGAATCAGATCTTGAGAGCCAAAGGCCTGCGCGTGAGTGGTCTCAAAGACGACCTTATCATGAGGCTGACCAAGAATGGCAACGTCCTGTCGGGTCGCCAGGCCAAGGAGATCGGGCAGCTGCGGATGACGGCTACGACGCGCGGACCCCTGACCAGGACCAACCTTCAGGACTCGAGTAGCCCTGAGGCCGCGCAGCTGTGGATCGAAACGTTCAAGAGCGAGTGCCGAGATCGTTCCGATGGTCACCGCCCACCAAACCACCCCAACCCAACCCGAAGGCCCAAATTTATCCTCGATTTCCAGTGGGGGGGGGGTCGGGGAACATCGAAAACACACATGGAATCCGTACCCCCCCAACCCGACATTCGGGTCAAATTCGGGCCTTCGGGTTGGGTTGGGGTGGTCTGGTAGGTAGTCTGGCTCTCAGCTGATCCACCCAGGGAGCTAGACGGATGGTCGCAGGAAGCACCGCGGCAGCCCAGGCTGAGCTAACGACCAGACTGCGGCTATCCCCGCGCCTGCCCACGGCGGGTGGCCCCGCGTTCGGGCCGAGGGCCCGCGGGGGGCCCCGCGGAAGGCCCGCGAGAGGCCCGCGGGAGGCCCGCGGAAAGGACCGCAAAACTGGTGCCCTGCTCGCGCTTCTCGGCTGGAGGCCGAGCCGCTTCCCTGCGCCCAAGGAGAATTTTTTCCTCACATTTGTATATATATATATATATATATATATATAGAGAGAGAGAGAGAGAGAGAGAGAGAGAGAGAGATGATTATGTATGAAAATATACTCGGACTGTTTGGGCGATGGCCCGAAATCCTGTAACCATTTCCTGCTCCAGAAAAAAGAGCAGCCCTCCTTCCTCCTCTCTCCGCGACGGGGGTGGGGGAGCGCGTGCATTTTTTTGAGGTTCCCCCCCTCCCCCCTCCTCTCTTTCAGTCTGTCAGACTCGTCTTGGCCTGGCCCGTGGCGGGATGGGGACGCGCGTCGACCCTGGGGTTAGGGCTTGCTCGGCCAGGGGCTGCGTTGGCGTGAAGGTGGCGGTGGCGACCTCGTCTGGGCGGTTCTTGGTCACACCGCCGGGCGTCCAGTCGCTCGGTTCACGAGTGCCTGCAGATCTTGCCAGCGGCGGCTTGAGGACATAATCAGGTGCTGTCGGATTCGTTGGGCTGCCCCGGCTCGTCCCTCCCCACCCATCATCAGTCAGCCTGCCCCCTTCGCACCATGGCACGACGCCAGCCCCACTAACTTCGTCTACGCTGCCTCTGGGCCTTCTCTGGCTCAGCTTTTCTTCACTGGTCCCAGGGCTCGACTTAAACGGTGATTTGGCGATTTCGTGGGTAGTTTTCATTTCGATCTCGTTTTGCAGCAAAGGCGGGACGAAAATAAAACGAGGGACGACGAAAACAAGACAAACACGAACAACATCGTGTGGGTTGAGACCAGACCGCTCCCGACTCTGAACATGGAGCCTCTGGCGATCGATCCCCGATCGATTGATCCGACCACGATCCTCCATCCATCCTCGATCGATTGATCCTCGATCGATCGACCGATCCCAGATCTTCGATCGATCTTCGACCGACGGATCCACGACAACCCCCCCCCCCCGCGCGCCAGGGGCCGCAGCGCCGCCGCCGGCTCCCGCGCGCGGGCGCGCGCGGGGCGCCGCGGCGCCCTGGGCCGCCGTTCAGACGGCCCTCGGGGACGGTGGTGCCGGAGGGGGGCGGGGGGCTGGTCGGGGGCAATGATGGGGGCGGGATGGGGGCGGGATGGGGGCGGGATGGGGGCGGGGGGCTGGCCGTTCAGACGGCCCTCGGGATGGTGGGTGCCGGATGGGGGCGGGGGGGCTGGCTGGGGGGATAGGCACAGGGGGGGAATGCATCGGCCCCCAATCGCCCATGGATCGCCCATCCCCCTTCCGCGGGGGCCTCGGCGGAGGCGCCGGCCGCCCCCTTCTCCCGTGCCTTCCTGTCACCGCCGCCCCTCTTCTCCCCCCCGTTCCTTCCTCCTCCTCCCACTCCTCTTCCTCCATCCTCCTTCTCCCTCCTCGT